CCCAGCCCTCCCCCTGACCCCCAGCCCTCCCCCTGACCCCCAGCCCTCCCTCCTGCAGGAGTTCCTGCGCATGATGGGGCCGGAGCGCGAAGGGCCAGCCCTCTGCCGCCTTCTGGAGCTGCTGGCCGAGGGCCGCCGCCTCCCGCCACCTCCCTCCTGCCCCATCGAGGTGAGGGAGGCAGACTAGTTTCCCAGGTTCCATTCTTGATTGACAGCGGGGGTCCTGGCCCCAAGTTGCCCCCCCCCCGTGGCTACTGAACGGGTCTTCCTGCCTCAGTCTCCCCTGCACAGAGAAGACAAACGGTGCACTACCACAGCCCGAGTCCACATTTGAATTTTTCTTTTATTATTTACTTTTTTTTAAATACTGAGAATTGACCCAGGGCCTCACACATGCTAGAGCCCACCACTGAGCTACAGTTTCTAAGGCGCCTTAAAAGATGGTTCAGGGGAGCCGGGCAGTGGTGGCGCACGCCTTTAATCCCAGCACTCGGGAGGCAGAGGCAGGGGGATCTCTGTGAGTTCGAGGCCAGCCTGGTCTACAGAGTCTACAGCCTGGTCTACAGGACGGCCAAAGCTACACAGAGAAACCCTGTCTTGAGAAAAAAATAAATAAAATGATTCAGGGGTTTGCCAGGCCTCTCCCAGGCCTGAACGGCACCAGCTGGAGTAGCTGGGAGAAGTCATTCCCGGAGACATGGCCGTGGGCGTGGTGGGGGGGTAGGCAGAAGCAAATGTGGGGTGAGGTGTGGCAGTGTGCCTGTCACCCCAGCAGTTTGGGGGCTGAGGCAGGAGGATTACCACGAGTTGGAGGCCACTCCAGACGGAAGCGGGGGTGGGGGAGACACAACAGTCGGACTTAGTTTCTGTCCCGAAGTAACAGGGAGTCATGGAGAGCTGTGGGCAGAGTGGAGCCCAGGTCGTCCGCTCAGGCCCTGCTCACTGGTCTCCCCGCCCTCCCCGCCCCCAGGTTCAGGAGCTCATGCAGCTGTGCTGGGCGCCCAGCCCGCAGGAGCGGCCGGCCTTCAGCGCCCTGAGCCCACAGCTGGACGCGCTGTGGCGTGGAAACCCGGGATAGACGTCAGGGTGAGCGCCGACCTCAGCGGGGAGCTGCCCGCCCCCGGGCCCCACCCCTACAGGCCGCTCACCCCTGTTCCCCGCGCCCACCCTTCCCACCTCTCCCTCCAGGAGGGGACCTTAAAGATGTGACCCCGGGCTCTGCGCAGCCGCCGCCTCTGGAAATGCTTGCCTGGCGCAGCCGCCTGCCCCCCGCAGAAGTCCCTGACACCGGGTCCCGACACCGCTCCACCCCGGCCACCCTTACTCTTGAAACTGACAGTGTCTGTCCAGTCCCCATCTCCGCCGCCCCGGGGGCTCCTTGGGGCAGTGACACCTCAGCCCAGCCTCCTTACAGGTTGGCTCTGGGAGTGTTTGTTGAGTGAATAAATGAATTCAATAGAAAAGATGGAGAGCTGACTTACTGAATGTGGGTCAGGCTTGGGGGCCAAGTGTGGGGTTCTGAGGAGAGACAGCTGGGAGGAGAGGCCTTGGCTAAACCCAAGGACACCCCCCCCCTCCTGCCCAGCTGTGGTCCTTGGCTCGCGGGGGGGGGGGGGGGAGCTGATTCCGGGCAGGGTCGGAGGCCAAGGCCCGAGCTGGGCAGAGCCAGAACTGCGCGCCCCAGGAAGATGCCGCAGCGCCCCACAAGGGACTACCGCCCATGTAGAGGAACAGGGGAGGGGGTCGGTCGGGTTCTCTCCTCCCCTCTCCCAGCCTCAGTTTCCCTCTTTGACAAAACCAAGACATAAATACCCCTTCCCATCGCCTTCACAGCCCAAACTGCTTCCAACTCAGCAATGCTCCTGTCTCAGCTTTCCCAGTGCCAGCGAGACGTGCGGGCGCCGCCCTCACAACAGGAGGGGCACTTGGCCTGTTTTAAAATGTTGGGAGGTCCTGGCCCCTGGGACTTCAGGGTCCCTGCTGGACACACAGCCCCGGCCCTGACCCGAGCCCCGACCTTCCCGGTGCTGCACGCGGTGTCCCCGCCAAGGCCCGTGGGCGGCGCGAGGCGACTATAAGGGGCGTGGGCGCCGGCCGCCCCCAGCCACCATGCGCGCGCTGCGGCCGCCGC